AGGTGCCATTAACATGTCCGCGGTTTATTGACGCGGTTTTCCAACGTCCATGCCAACTGTACATATCGGGGCATCATTAGCCACCGGCAGAGAGGCTCAGAGTGTGACCCGGTGTGCGGGGTCAGAGAGAATGCCATAACAAAGTGCCAGCGAAGCTGTAGGGAATAGCAAGTGGAGGGGATCGAGGGAGAGTGAGCTCAAAGTGTCATAGTTGGCGCAGGCATTAGATAAGGCTAAGCTACCAGAGGATTATAGAGGGAGGAGATGTAAAATGCTGTTGGCTAATTGGGCTTTATTTTTAATATTTCAGAGGGTTCATTATAATCTGAATTGGTGACGGATTTCAGCTCCGGCTGTAGTTTTTGAGGGTCTTTTTGGAACAGGCTTTACCACCTGAATGATGGCAGTATCCTTTTTTTGTTAATGCCGTGTCATTGAACACGGGGTATAGTGTGTTTAGAGGAATGCTACTTTTAATTACCAGAATTTTAATCGCGTTACATAGTTGTATTTCATAATTCTTGCCTAATTGTGAGCCTAGTTACCTCACATTCCCTCTCTTCAACAAGAATACAATGCAAGTCACGTATTTGAGGTATTTAAAAATCCCAGTTTTTAAAAAATTCAAAAACAAAATTTGTTTTTTGCTCTTTGTAACCTTTGGCGAGACACAATAACCTGAAGGGCAGACTTTGGGGTATCATATAGTTATATTTTCCAGAATGACGAAGCAGCGAGTGTATCTGAAGCCCTGACAAAGCGGTTGATGCTCGGAGGCTTGCTTTGTTTTGCTGTGGAGAGAGAGACTGAGGGCGAGCGGTCAACGCGCGGCACTTTGCCATGACCCTCCTCGGTTTATCGCGTTCTGCGCCGCTCCTCCAGGCCTCCAGTGTGTGGGCGCACTGGAGATCTAGCCGCGCTATAGAATGGGGCCCTTCATAACCTCTTAACCCCCACGGTCCTGTTTGCAGCCATTGTTGGCCGTGCTGAATGGTATCTCCGTGCCTTGAAAAGTAACCAGATGACATTCTTCCTGTTGTTCAAAAGGGCCCAGGGTTGTGTTGTGAAAGGCGGCTGAAAGGATAGGCGAAGACTGTGACCTTCAGAGGCTAATCTCTGGCATGTCATTCAGTGGCTGTTTGAGGCAAACGCAGACCTTTCTCCCTGATAGCAATGTACCAAGTCAAACACGGCAGAAATTCCTATTCGATTTATATATAACAGTTACATGCCAAAAAACAGTCAAGTTAGTTTCTTTTTTTTTTTAATGGAGCCTCCAGTATTAAGGAACCAGGGGGTGTTTTGCAGCGGCTGAACTGAATCGTTATTCCAGACGGGCCGTGTGTCTGACACCTACATTGTCCAAACAGTCTCTCCAGCCTGTGATTGAGCCCTCTGTACACAGACCTGTGGCATCAGCAGTGCTGCATGCTGAAATACCGCCGGTGCTGTGAAGGCAGCGGGGGTGAAATGCACTTAGCGAGACAGTAAACATCGGCACGGCCTTCCAACTAGCTCGCCTTGTTTATGTCTCCTCCTCTCTGGTGTGTTTGCTGTCTTCAGCTGGCTAGCGTTTCCTGGAATGTGCAGCAGAGATGCAGTTATTGCTTGGGGGGGGGGTCACACAATAGGAGCATATATTTTTCCCCTCCAACATTAAGAGGTTTAAAAGTTGCTGTTAAAGCTTTGACCAACAACTGTTACATTTCTGCTGCCACTTACAGATTAACAGCCTCCACGGCATAAGACAGTGTAGCTACCTAGTTGTAGAGGTGTTTTTATCCAACATCGTGACTCTCAAAACCCCTTAACCAGATGCTCTTATTCTACACTGACAAGAAGTCTTTAACCATTAATGTGTTCAAGGGGATTTGCTTTTCAGCGTGTTAGAATGCACTTTACTGGCATTGAGCTGTCTTTGTGCCCGTCTAAATGATCTCCGAGAGCCGGTCTTTGAGGAGAACAAAGTTTTCTCCCTGCGAGCCGTGAATAGCACTCCTGCTTCCTGTGTTCGCGCTGTGCCACCTGTATGGGGTTAAGATTGGGGTCAGACCTTTTGCAGGAGTCTGTTGTCTGAGGGCCCCTTTTTCAGCCGGTTGTGCTGGGGACTGACGTGAAAAAGGAAAAGCTGTCGGGTTTTAAAGGGCCTCTTTTGTCGGACATCTTTCAACGATAAATGATTGGCACATCTCCTGCTATTTCCCCCTTTTGTTTTGCCGCCGTTGAGCACGACAGCAAATGGTGAAATTGACCACAATGTCTGATGTGGCGAAGTTGTTTACAAAGGAAACGTTGAATCAGAAATGGAAAATGTCAACTTTAATCGTGCTATAGCGCAACCGTTTTGCACCAGTCAGAAAATATCCCCAGAAGTAGTGTATCAGAAGGTGATGGAGCTAGAGATGGAGACGGGGTGGGGGCAGAGGAAGAAGGGGCGGGCCGTGGTTTGAAAGGCTTACTTAAAAGTGTGTAAAGACTCCTGAGGCCGGTCATGTTGCTATGTGACAGGGAAGCATTCGTCTTGCTGCGTATCTGACGTCCCAGGGTCTCATTGCGAGGGTCTGCCTGAGCTGCGTGTCGGCTTTCTGTAATTAATAGCCAGTAGCCCCCCCTCGACCCCCATCAAGGGACCAGGTGCTGTTTGGATCTGCTCTGGCATGGGAAGACAGATACGCAGATCTGCCGGTGGTGGGTTTCACTGTTATCGGGATAGAACTCACTCTCCCGCTCTGCGCTGACCCTAGAACCAAAGAAACAACGATGCTTTATCACCACGGGTATTTTTAGTGGTGCGGCGATGACGGATTGTGGGGCGAAAGATGCGGTTCATTTCGTCCATAGTGTGTCGAGCACCATTGTGCTCGTATCCTGTGCTGTTTAGCAGGGCTAGCGGGCCCTGACAGATTGCCATCCCGATGGGGAGATTTACCCAGCCAGCACCACCAATGGCACTGACACCATCATTAGGCTTTGATCAGCTGCAGTCTGCAAGTGGAAGGAGAGAGAGAGTAATATTCTTGATCTAATTACTAGGAGACATTTCAGGCAGCGTAATGTGTGATTTAACCTTTTGTCGGAGGCTATAAACGGAAGCTGGGTTAATCTTCCCTGCAACCTCTTCCACACAGGGGAAGAGTGCCTTTAAATTTCCCTTTTCCCGTGGAGCTGGTAAAATCCTACATGTCGCCAGTGCGGTATGCTAGCACACAAAGGCTGACTTTCTACTTGAAATCTCTCAAGGCAATAGTTCTCTGACCTTTGAATGTTACCAACAGCTGCTTTGCAGGGACTCACGTGCTTTATGCATTTGGAGAATTGCAAGTAGAACAAAAAAAAAAGCTGTCCTTTTGACTTCTGTATGCTTCCTCCAAATGGATTCTTTCACAGCCCCCCCTTTGTTTTTCTCTCTCTCTCTCTCTCTCTCTCTCTCTCTCTCTCTCTCTCTCTCTCTCTCTCTCTCTCTCTCTCTCTCTCTCTCTCTCTCTCATATTCTTTTTCTTTCCCTCCCTCACTATCACCACCCACACACACTGCAGCATGATGAGTGCAGGAGACTTGATTGAACAAATAGATCGCGAAGTGCAATTTAGGGGGTTTGGGTTAATCAGTCAAACATAGTGAAACAATTCTTTGGACATGAGGGGATTAGTCTTGCCCGCGCTGAGCTCATCGGAGCCCATTCTCCCCAGCGCCGGCCGGGCTTTTAGGGCCAAGGGCCACGGCCTCACTGGCTCCATGGAGAACCACACACGCACCCCTCAGCATGCTCCATTGCCTCTGAATGCCCCACCACTCTACTCTCCCTTTTGTTACGGAGTACAATTGGAATGATGGATTAGCAAATTAAATGCAGACCTCTCTATTCATGGCCACCCTTGCTCAAAGTCTCATTCACTGGATCTATCGCAAACCTACTTTAACCCGGTGACCAGGTTCACTGCGTGTCCTTAAATTCCTTCAGAAGAGCGTCTTTTGCCCTTCAATGCATTCTTAAAAAGCGGCTCCCCTTCAACTCTCCCAACGTAAGGGCTCTCAGTATCTTGTTTTTACAGGGATGACTTCCTGCACATTTTCTTGCCCTTTGGTTCTGAGTGCCGATCACACTGATAGGAAGTGGCCCCTGCTATGATGATGTGTTGGCAAGCTCGGGGCCCGGCTGCAGCCCGGCCGAGCTGGCTCTAAATTACCTGTGTCATTGTCTCCTCCATGTTCCCCAGAGCACAGCGATGACCTGCCTGACCCACGCTCCCTTTCGTTGTGCTGCCTTTTATTTATTTTCAAATACCATCATCATTTTTTTGAATGTGTTGTTTTCAATTGGCGTTCACTCGCTTACATGATTTGGTTTTGCAGTAGCTACTGTGAAATATGCATTTATTTGTTCTGTTATTTACTTACTTTGTTCTATCACTGTTTTTTGAACCCATAGCACCTTGTGTCTGCCGAAGCTATCTTTGAATCAAAATGTCACATTCACAGCACCTCTGCCACACATACTGCTCATGTGATGTAACTGGAGCTGGAGCCATTAGTCAGATATAGAGGTGCTGTTGGTAAGTTATAAAAATAACTTTTTATCATATTTGCTCAAACTGTCACTGTATCCTGACAGCAGTACATGATCTCCAATGCGTCCAGAAACATATTTTAGTGAAGAGTTTATCTGTAAAATGAGAAGGTTTGTTTGCTCTGGCCGGTGGGCGGTGCTTGCTTCTGGCTTGCCTGTTTTCAACATGGCAGCTGGGTAACAAGCTCTATACCTTCTGTAGGATATAGGGACAGTTTGAGCAAATGTGATTTAAAAAAAAAAAAAAAAAAAAAAAAAAAAAAAAAAAAAAAA